CAAGGCAGATGCAAGCCCCACAGCTCTAACAATAGCTCTAACTTTAAAGACTTGGCACTGGGACCAATCCCTCTTCTTCTAGACACCAGTATACATTTTTGGTATCTACAATGTCAGCAGCTACAAATCCTCCACCAAGTCTGATTCCACCGTAGTAGATTTTCAGGGAGAGGAGCAAATTTCCATTCCTTACAAGCAATACCCACCCAGATCAGCTTGCATAAAGATTTTTAAACAACAGAAAAGCCATTCTCACCAGCAAGGTCAGAGTCTACCTGCTGGGCTCCTGAAATACTCCCAAACTCCTTTATTTCCCTCTCAAATGGGATCCTCCTGTGGCTCTAAGCCATCTCAATAGGTTGCCTCTTTCTCTGAGAAGTCCAGCCCGTAGCTGAGTGGTCTTTTGGAAACTAAAATTCAGTTAGGAGGGAGGCTCTGGGATTTACTTTGATGACCGATCCTGATACCCACTTGTTGGAAGAGTTCATATGGCCTAAGAATTGCTCGGACTTCACTAAAGCCTATTTCCTCTGGTTGGATTCCTACTAGAGGGAGGAAAGACAGGCTAATGGACTATATGGAGGTTTAGAAACACTCATGCCCAGCCAAATCTCAGAGTTCTCTTAACTCCCATCAACTTTTTATCCTTGCTTCTCTAATTTTAAAACCCCTTTGCTCTCTGTGTTTTCAGCTACAAAGTAGTAAAATTTTAAATCCTCTCCCATGATCTAGAAGTGAGACATAATGTAAGAAAACCCAAAGCCCTAGGAAGGGTTAAGTTTTCCAAAAATGCTTCTGAGGAAGTCCTCGGCTGGCTCCAAGGTTTGGCAGTGTGTCATGTCATTGTGTCCTTCTGGGGCTGCAGTGAGACTTAGTCTTGCAATTAGAGAACAAGGCTCCTTACAGGGACGGCCTAGGCAGCCTCTATTTTGGTTTCCCCCTCACAAGTCTAAGTAGAGATGGTGGGGGGGGGAGGGGTAGAGGGGAAGCCCTACCACATCCTTATTAGTACAAGCTGAAACCTTTTAAACATAATGTCTGGATGCTCACATCATGAGCAAATATTTCTGTGTAAAACAAATACAAGCCTGGGGGGTCAGAAAGACATGCATTCTTCAGTAAAAGTTAACTTGTTCCTTTCTTTGTTTTTAAACCCCCCTTTGGAAATTAAGGAGAATGTCCAACCTTGCCATATAAAAAAGTGCAACCATTTTGAAAGACAGCTGCCAGCTCAGCATCTTCTAAGTCAGGATATATTTATACTTAAAAACATAATCCAACAAATGAGTTCCACTGGGGTGGTTAAGTGCCAGTTAAAAAGCGTTCTTTTCCCAGGATAAGAAAATACCAGGAGAACTGAGGTTTTATAATCAGGAAGAGAAGGAAAAGGCAGCTTGGTTTTAGAACTACACATCTCTCTTATAAAAATATATAATTGTACTCTCATGGTAAAAAGATTAGTTGCCTTCAACGGATTCTCAGAAAAAAAAAAAATCCTATTATTTCCTCTCCACGAAGGAGTAACATCTTCCCATAATTACAGGAAAGCTGTGCATTAAGGTGCCTGCTCAGGAAGTACCATTTCCTAATCAGATGCAAACCTAATCCACTGTCACCAAGTCAAAAATAAAGACTAAATTCTCACCTCCTACAGCCTTCTTTCCTCTGTAGTTCTCCCAACTATACCTCCCTCAATAAGAGGCACTAAGCAACAATCCATTAATTTAGAAATTCTCCTCAAGGACACTCTCACCTCAAGGCCCCCCCTCCCAGCTAAGATGGTCAGATTCAGCTACTTTTGTCTCATACGAGGCGAAGGTAAGGGGAACAGTAATTGCGATGTGTACAGGTATCTGGCAATACCCTCAGCACAAGCTTCTGAACATCTACGGTGGCCCTCCAACACTTGTGTGTCACCTTTTACCAATGATCACACAACAGATGGCATGCGTCCGGGCAACACACATGTAGCCATGCCTCTCCCTCACACGTCTCTCCTTTAAATGTCTTCACAGAAACTATCAATTACAGACTCCAAACCAAAATTACACTTGGGCCTACAGCAGTCTTCCTTCACAGACCTTGAAAACGCTCTGTAATCTCTGGGTTGGTCATAAATTTAAAGAACCACTGAAACTCAAGAGAGAGGAGCCTGAGAAATCACCTAGACCAAACCCCTCATTTTCCAGATGGGCAGCAATGGACAGTGATTTGCTCCGGGTTTCAAAACAGTACATGTGATTCTAGGAAGACTACAAATGAAAAGTGGTAGAGCGTTATTTCAGTTATCAACTTCTGCTTCCCTTCCTACTAGAAAAATAACACTTGATTTGGGGAGTATATTTTGGCATCAACACTGAAGATAAGAAAAACACCACTTGTTTTGAAAACTCTTACATAGACCAAAAAGGTACAACTCATTCTTTCCTTCTCCATGATTCATGAGGAGTCAAAAAAAATTGCTTTTCAAATATTTTGCCTAAAATAAGGATAGTTTTGATTTCAGATACCACTTGTACCAGAAGGTTAACCATTAGGACCAAAAGCTCCTTGAATTTGAGATATACAAGTCCTCGTTTTCTTTTATGATCACCAGAGGACAAAGCAGAAAGAAGAATTTTGAAACAGAGAATGTAAAAGTCAGACCAAGTCTGGGAGTAAGAGGGTCAAGGATAAGGAACCACACTTTAGCACAGACTCGGAATTAAACTGGTTTCTTGCCTGAAAGGGTAGGAGGGAGGGAGGGCCTGGGGGAGAGATGGTGGTTGTGCTGCAACCTCTCTCCATGGGTAATAATTACCTTTCTCACTGATCACATACAGAAGCATGGGTTGGGAGTCACAAATACCACAGGAACATCAGCTTTTATAGAACCTAGCCCTTCCTCCCTCGCTCCACTCTCTTTCTTGAAACAGTCTACCAAAAAAAAAATCTTCGTACATGGGTGCCTGGGTGGCTCAGTTGGTTAAGCGACTGCCTTCGGCTCAGGTCATGATCCTGGAGTCCCGGGATCGAGTCCCACATCGGGCTCCCTGCTCAGCAGGGAGTCTGTTTCTCCTTCCGACCCTCTTCCGTCTCGTGCTATCTCTCATTCTCTCTCTCTCAAATAAAAATAAATAAAATCTTTAAAAAAAAAAAAATCTTCGGACAAATGTGGTTGCTTTCAAACTTTTCAGCTCTTTCTGTGCTCTCTGAACTTGGTAGGTTATCCGGTTTCTTTTTAGGCCCTCACAGACCACTTCTATAACCAAAGTCTCTCCCTATTACCAAACTACTCACATTGTTCCTAGGAATACTTGGAGACACCTGCAACCAATGACCTGGAGTTCTCTTTCTCTTCATGCTCAATCCTTATCTCAAACAAGGGAGGCAGAATATACAGGGGAAATAGAGCAACACAAAGAAACCAGGATCTAAACCCTGGCTCTGTACCTCATTGCTAAGTGGCCTGAGACAAGTCACTTTAACTCTTTGACCTCCAGTTTCCCCATCTGGAAAGTCAACATCACATTACCCACTACCCAAGGAGACTGTGAGATTTACAGATTATATAAACTCCCTTGTTAATGACTGTCACATGGTACGCATTAGATAAATGTTAATAATTACTACTAGAACTCCAATCTGGCATTTCATTTCAGGACATTTATGTACCTTCAGAAAACCTGCCCTGTGTGTCAGATGTGGGGACACTTCTGAGATCCTTCTGTGTCCATGCTGACATCCACCACTCTAGATGTTTTCTTGGGAATATATTCCTCATTAACCAACAGGTTGACCTCGGACTCCATACTTACTAGAGACTAGGTCATATTGAAGTTTTGGGTCCTTCCAATTTTTCACTAAAACTTATCACCAAAAATACACTCTTGATGATTTATAAGAATATTTCCAGAGTGGCGTGGCCATTATCAAATAGAAAATCTAAGACCACAGAGTTCGGTGGCTTGCCCCTAGGGATTCTGGTTCATTAGGTCCTAAGGAGGGGCCAGAATTTGTGTTTAATAATGCTCATGATAGGATTACTAATGATCTGTGAACTTTTGGAACCACTGTTTTGTATGATCCCAGATTTCTCCCTCTGCAAAGAAACATCTGCAAACTGGAAATTACCCGTTCAGCTTCTAATTAGCAGCACCTGCTCTGTGAACCACACTCCCTTCCTCTGCTTCAAGTAATAGTCATTCCTACCCAGTGGTCCTGCCAAAAACAAACAAAACACACCCAGGACACAGGTAACTCAGCAAGCACTAAAGCCTCTGGATTTGTGCAGGAAAAAAATTGCTATAAACAGCTTTGTTTCTCATTATTAATCTATCTCATGTGGGGATTTCCACAAGCAGAAAGGCTCCCAAATGCCAAGAGCTATATTTTCTTGTGGATCACTGAAACCTAATTATTAACAGACCAGTAAGCCCTACTACCAGACTTTCATACAATCAGCAGATTGCGAAGACAGTCTTGAATTATGGACTACAGAGAACTGAAGAACCGAAAGGCAAATTCATTTCTTCACCACTGCTCTCCCACATGCCACAATATTTGAGCTGCTCTGGAATATATAAATCCTATGCAAGGTACTGCCTGCTTGCAGACAACCATTTTTAGCACCTCAGAACCCTGAGACCCACAATGGACGTGATCACACCTGCCCATTCCATTCTGTCCCAATTATGAAGATCTCTGCCCTACAAGCCAGTCTACCTTGATGAGCATCGAGTCCAGTCATTCTGCCCCACACGCCAGTAGCACCGGCGTCAAGCTTTATGGCACACAGAACATCTGATAAAAAGAAACCGACACTGAAGTTTCAAATCATAATAAAACACTGTGCTGGGCTTGGTATATTCTGTTAGAAGCAAGTACACAGCTCTGTGGGGCAATTCTCCAGCAGCCCACCAAGGAGGTCTTCTCCACCCGGCATGAAGAACCGCAGAGAGGCAGGCACCTGAGGAAGGGATTTCGCAGCCACAGATAAGAACAAACACACGCTTCCTCACCTGCCTGAGTCCTTTAGGCATTTTCTTTCTCTTCCCAAGGTGCTGGCAGAGATTGCGGTCATTTTCTCGATCCGAGCTGTAGTGGTGTGGGTGGCTGAGTCTGCTCTTCTTGGAATGAAAAGACAGGCCGTTGGTAAGTGCTTCTCGTTTCTTCTTGGTCAGAGGGGTCTGGCGTTTCTCCACACGTTCCTGAGGCTTAAGTGCTACATCTTTCTATAGAAAAGAAGAGAAGCAGAGGGAAGTGATGGTTATGTATGTGTCCAGGGTCACACCCAAAATACAGGCTAAATGGGGTTACAAGAAAGGAGAGGGGAAAGCAGGAAGGGAGATAGGAAGAGAACAACTAAAACTAAGAAAAGGGGCTCTCAATTTTTCTGAATACCTAACGCCACCACAAATATATCCTTTCTATTCTTGTTGGGCAGAAAAGTCAACAAAGCACAAAGCATCTGTCCATTAAAAGTGATTTCACTTGCTTAGTGGCTTTCAATTTGATTCTCTGCTAGGTCCAGCAGCACACAATGACATTCCCCAAGGAGGCTCAATACACTCACTTTCCAAGTTGGTACATCAATTATGTTTCAGAAAAGGAGTACTAAGTGCGTGCATGATTTAAAAAAAAAAAAAAAAAAAAAAAAGGCAAAAGCCTGAACATCCCAGGGCCAGGTGGATGTGAGCCAGCAAGAAAGAAACTATCAATTCATATGATTAAAATGTTTCCTTAATGCATTATACATTTTTACCACAAGTTCCTCTGAGCATCCTTAATTCCCAGTTCTTTGCAAAATGTAACAACAATATTATCACCAAGATCTACAGCCACTTTTCATTTATTGCTTTGTGTGTGGTTGGGGGGTGGGAAGGTAGGAGAAACGTAATGGATGTCCTGGAATGGGAAGCAGCAGCTTCAGAGACTACAGGCGGGCATTTCAGGCCACAAGATCCCGTGAATTCTGTGCCTGCAGGCAGCTCAGCACCTACGGAAATACCAGAAGACCTGGGTCCAAAGCCTGACACTGACATTATTCATTAGGAGACTTGAAGTACACCACTGGTAGGATACGTGCGAATGTCCTTTGAACCCTGAGAAATGTACACATGAAGCCCTGAAATTTAAAAGATTTGGCACTCAGTCATTCATAAATGAGTGGATATGATCCTATTTACACTGAAAATGCTCCTTCATGGAGCCTCGCCCCCGTATAAATAAATTCTGTTTCCTGTGGTCCTAAATGAATGCACAAACAAATAATACAAACTAAGACAAAATTTTCCCTTTACCCATTTTCTCCTTAAAATACCTCTCTCTCTTTACGCCCCTCTCTCCCCTCTCCCCACCCCTTATAGCCAGTAGTCCCAAGGTAGTTCTCTATCCTACTGCCTCCCGATATCCAGTACTGCCCACTTGACATACACGCTGCTCCTCGAGGTCTTTCCCCAAATCAGCCGTTGCCATTAGTTTGGGAGCTCGGACATTTACATCTGCTTTGCCTCGGCCTCAAAGCCCTACCTTCCACACCCCTCCCTTTTCTAGTTCAAGGACTCTTAGCAGGGCCTGTCCACTCAGGAAGACCTTTCTTACAATGCAAAGCACTGTTCTCAAGCCTTCACTTATACAAGTATTTTCTGTGGGCCCAGTATAATACAAACTCAGCACTGTCCTATAGGGTCTGGGAAAACAATCATGTGGAGGAAAAAAATCCCCACCTCCTGGAACTTAAAATTTAGGGACAAATATTAATCAAATCACATAAATATATCATTGCAAACTGAACTATCTGCTCTAAAGGTAAGGGAAAAGGTGCTAAAACTGGGGGAAATGGTCTAGTCCAGAATAGTAGGCTGGTGCTGAGGAGATGACTGCCACCTGACCTAGTTCTGAAAGTCTGAGCAGAGAGAACAGCTTGTGCCAAGGCTCTGAGGGTCAGCTGGCAGCATGACCCCTTAAAAGAATCAGGGCACAGACGAAGTTATCACTCATCTCAGTAACCCCAATGCTTCACATACAGAGTCAGGCAAAAAACAAGTGTTATGTTTACATTTACTAGATAAATAAATAAACGAGGCAACTAAAGTACCCAAGCCTATAAGCCACAACAGTGATTTGATAATACCCCAAGCTGGTACTAATACAGAGTGAAGCAAACTAGAAAAGTGGAAACCAAGGAACCTTGCAGGTTCTACAGAAACAAGGATCACGGCAAACAGCAAGAAGCCTGAGAAGAGGGGAAAGGCCTTATCGCCAGAGCAAGAAGATATCAAAAATAAGTCTCATCAGGCAAATGAGTGGCTCCTGGTCTAACTTCTAGCTGCTATCACAATGCAGATGATTTATCTTCTGCCGTTGGAGAGGCAGCTCTCCTGAGGCGAGGAGGATGTGTGGTGGCAAGTATTTAGGGGACAAGCTGAGATCGAAATGAGTGCACATGGCCATTGATTCCAGTCTCAGAACCTTGTACAGAATGTCTAACACATAGTCAATGCTCAATAAATGTCCGCTGTATTTATTCCTCTGTCTAGCATCCACCACCACAGTCAGCTATGTTAGACATCTGCTCAGCTCAGACTATCCTGTGTTTAACATCACACGCAACCAAAATAGTCATGTCTCGTGAAGATGCTCAGGAATGATGGCAACAATAGCAGAAGCAGCCAGGCTGAGTTCCATCGTGGACCGCTTCTATATACTATGATTAATTGTACTACTTCTTTTAAGAGTAATGTATAAACTCCCCCACAGGGTTGTTAAAAAAAAAAAAAAACAAACTTCTCTTTGTCATCCAACCCACCTACTGCCTGGCATATATACACGTGTACAGTCTCGGATTAATAAACAAATGATAATAATGTATCAACCGTGCTTTTAAAAAAATTATGCCATTCTCTTTGGAGACCAAATCTCCTCTCATACTGAAGGTGCTCCAAAGTATACTGAAAATTATGTGCAATTCCATACAAATGTAAATTAATATTTATGAGAGTATGGTATAATTTTTTCTAAATCCATTTTAGTTTCATGTAGCATATTAATCAAGGCATATTCTCACGGCACCACAGAGTAGCTACACAGAGCAAATGGACCCCATGCCGTGACATTAGCTTGTAAGAGACCTGCTGAAGCCTTAGCAGCAGCGGTACAATCATCTTAGCTCCAATTAATATTGAGATTTTCAACGCTGGAGGGTGTTGGGTGGGGCAGAGAGGGGAAGGGAGAAAGGATCAAAGTGTGTGTAGAGGTGGTGGCTTAAGAGGTAAGAAAAAAAATCAAGAGTCTTTAAAAGGTTTTTTTATTAAAGAAGAGGTTTATATTCTCAAAGATATCTTTATTCTTTCAAAGATACAGTTTTATTTAGAAATTGCTACATAGACACTTTGGTGTAATTCTTGAATAAACCAGGCTGGTGTTTATTCATTCCCTCTGTAAACATTCACTGGCTGCTTACTATGTAGAAAGTAATCATTTAACTTCTCATTGACTGTCTTGGAGGGAAAATGACAAGAACTGTCCACTATAAGCAAAAAGCATCAGAGACAAAAAGACTGATTATAAATTACTCACCATATAACACTCTAAAGAGTTGTGCGTGTGATTACACACACGTGTATGTGTGCATGTTATCTATCCATCAACCAACAATTAGCAACTAATTTAAGAATTTCCTTAAACAAACATGGGTGGTCTACACAGCACTGCTGGAATATGGGAAGGGAACTGTGTGATTTATAAAATAAATTTTTACCATCAATGAATGACGATTTTCAACGGCCACTTGATTCATTTGTCTACCATGATAAAGGCTAGTGATTCCCAGGGAAAAATTAATGTCCATGAGAATTACCTGCAGTGCTTTTTGAAAATAAGGTGACTTGGCCCCATACTTGGCAAAGGAAGTATTTAGCAAACAAGCACTGGGAGGGAAAGCAGGGAGGGCAGAAGAATAAGGAAGAGATGGGGGGGGGGGATGTTTCTAAGGCATTCATTTCACAATCAGGGAAGCAAGCAAGAAAGCAAGAAAACCAGCCCGCCAACAACAGAAGGCTGGCTGTGAAGTACGAAGATTTAGACATATTTGCTAGCAATAGAGGGGGTAAGTGCACAAGCCATGCATAACAGATGGGACTGGGTTTCATGAATAGTTGAAATTATGTGATTTTTAGGTCACTGGTGATGGAGGGCAGGGTCAACAGCAGCACACATGCTGAGAGGCTCCAAGACACATTATTTCCTTTAACACCCAGCCTTCTTCAAAACAGGTGATCTTGCTCTTGACTTCCCCTTCTCTCAAATTATAATCTCTCACCAAAGGCTTCCTCTGCCACTCCTGAATTTCAAAATGAGACGGTTCAGTGCTGTGCAGACTAGGGGAGAGCAACAAACTGCAGATGAAGCACTGTCTCAGCGGCGGGGCTGCATTTGCTGATTACAGATGAAGCCACAGACAACAGAAAATGAAGGCACAATTTGCCTGCCTTGCATGAAATAGGTTTCAGAAAGAGAGTCTCCATCTGATTTTCCCAACCGAACTAATCTGAGAGCAGCCCATCCCTTACAAAGCATCTGCGGTGTGGGTGTCTGCATGTGCCCCTGTGGGCGTCCATGTGGGAGAGAGGGGTACAATTGAAACAGAACCTCTTAGGTAAGTTACTTATCTTAGGGACGTGCAATGAAATAACAAAGGAGCCAGGAGAAATAAGAAAAGGCGCTTTTGCCTGTCACCATCAGAAGGCATTCATGGCTGTGTGCTGTCATTTTAGTTTGTCATGTGCTTTGTTGGTTAATTTTATTACATTTGTACTTACTTTGGAATGGTTTTACAAACACTGATTCCATCTCTTCCCTTAAGTGCAAAAGAAGTGAAAGCGTTTACAGTGAGAGTAAGAAGTGAAAAATTAGGAAAGAAACAAAACACACAGCTCTTTTAAAACTTAACTCTGTGGACATGTTAACAGTGGCCCCTATTCTGGAATTCCGAACAAATGGGACTTAGGAACAGCCCTTTAGAACCTAAACTTTTTAGTAAGGACAGGAGACTGCGTGCAGGAATTTACAAACAAAATAACCAATACAAAATTAAAAAAAATAATAATTCCTCATGTTCACATCTTTTAAAAACAAAACTGAAAATACCCACTACGTGCCAGACACTTTGCCACCTGTTAGAAATAACTAAGAAAGGATCCCTGATCCCAGGCTGGTTAGTGGGGGTACAGGA